AGAGTCAAAATTTGTCATAAACAAAACAACTTATACCTGCCTTATACCAATGGTTCAGGCTACTGTTGGCATAATGTTGTGGGGCTGTTTTCTTTGGGTCCCTACTAGCTCCACAAATTGAGAAAACTTGGAACAGTGGTGAACAGTGTTGGTAAAAGTGCTTGAAAAAAGTAATTAGTTACTAAGTTAGATTTTCAAAACAAGATACACAACCTAAATATATAAACAAAGCAATAGACATTTCAGCCCAATTCTATTTTTATACATAATCCATCATATAAAATTGAATCAAATGGAAAGCCTCTTTTTAAAATTGTTTAATGAGTTTTAATCTTTTAATTTTATGCACATTGCATCAAGCAAAAATTAAATTATATGCCTTGAAGAAATTTGTTTAGCATTTAAACCTATTTTCTGCATATTCCAGCATATAAAATAAAATTATTTTTTGTGTTTACACTCACATAGAGGCAAGTAAAACACAGCAAAAAATCTTCTTGATGCATTCTCAATCATCCAGGAAAGTAAATCTCCAAAAGTTGATTCTGTTTATCTGGACGTAGCGTTTTGTGGGAGAAACGTTTCATGAGAATTTGGATAATTATGATTAAGGAACTGACCTCCCAGCCCACTGTTCCTTCAGTGGGCTGGTTTCAGTCATTATGCAAATGTACTGTTTATAAGATTTGGAAAAACCTGCAGTCAGCTGAGACTGAAGAAGTCACTTGGATGAGTGACGAAAAATTTCTCCCACAAAACGCTACGTCAAGATGAACAGAATCAACTTTTGGAGACAGCAAAAAATAAATAAAATCAAAGATTCAATGGCACTAAGTTCAGTCGCTCTTAAATCTATTTTCCCATTTGGCAGGAGTAGAGCAGGCAGAGATCTGCCCGGTGCCATAGCGGTCATGTCAGTGGGAGGATCCGGGGGTTTCTCTGTGAATTTCACATTCCTGTTGCGGCTTGCTAGGTGCTTGCTCAGATTTGAAGGTAAATTTTTCCCTGTAGAAAGAAGTTTTCTTCCCACGCAGACTGTACAGCAGACACTATAACGTTTTTGTCAACTAAAACTTAAAGAAATGCCAGTACGTCCACGCTTTAAACGCTGCATGGCCGTACTCTCTCCAACACTCCATATTATCCATTTTCGATCTACACACATCTGTTGTTGCCACGGACGTCGCACGTGCTTACGTCGTTGTCATGAGGCACTCTCACAAACAAAATCATGACGGTTTAGTAACGCAGTAACGCAACGTGTTTACGGGAAAGTAACAGGAATCTAATTACAATAGTAATCCCTTACATGAGCGGTCTCCAACCTTTTTTGCGCCACGGATCGGTTTATGCCCGACAATATTTTCATGGACCGGCCTTTAAGGTGTCGCGGATAAAAACAACAGAATAAAAGTAGTACCGGTACCTAAAAAAAGAAGATTTATTCATAACACACGTGAAAAGACCCAGGAAAACCAAGTAAACAAAAAAAACGATAACAAAAATGCTGAAAACCGATAAAAATCTTGAAAACCATACATTTCACACCTGAGCCTCAACTCTCGCGGCCCAGTACCAAACGACTCACGGACCGGTACCGGTCCGAGGCCCGGGGGTTGGGGACCGCTGCCTTACATTACTTGTTACTTGAAAAAAGTAATCGGCTTACAGTAACATGTGACTAATGCGTTACTGTCCATCTCTGGTGGTGAACCTTCCCAGGAGTGACCAACCTACCAAGAATACTCCAAGAGCATCAATGGCTCATCCAGGAGGTCACAAAAAAACGCAGAACATCTGAAGAACTGCCTCACTTGTCTCAGTTAAAGTCTGACTTCATGATTAAACCATAACAAAGAGACTGGGCAAAAATGGCATCCACTGGAAAGTTCCAAGAAGAAAACCACTGCTGACCAAAAAGAACACAAAGGCGCAACCCTCAAAAAACATCTTCATGATTCCCAAGACTTCTGGGAAATATTCGATGGACTGACTTGTTGGAAGGCTTGATGACTGTTACATCTGGAGTAAAACGAACTAACTAAACTAACTAACGTACGTTCCATAATTGATGGAAACATGAATTCTGTTCTCTACCAGGAAATCCACATCTAATTCATGCCTTGAAGCTCAAGAGCAGTTGGGTTATTGCAGCAGGACAATAATCCAAACACACCATCAGTCGACCTCTGAATGGCCTAAAAAAGAAACCCCAAAAAACAAAAACGAAGGTTCAGGAGTGGCCTAGTTATAGTGTGGACTTAAATCTGTTTGAGATGCTTTGGTATGACCTTAAACAACCTGTTCACGATGAAAAATCCTCCAATGTGTCTGAATTAAAGTAATTCTGCAGAATAGAGTGGGCCAAAATTCCTCCACAGTGATGTGAAAGATTCACTGCCAGTTATCACAAACACTTGATTACAGTTCTTGCTGCCAAGGGTGGCACAACCAGTTATTAGGTTTAGGGGGCAATTATTTTTTCCACACAAGGCCAGGTAGGTTTGGATAGTTTTTCTCCCTTAATAAACAAAATCATCATTTAAAAACTGAATTTTGTGTTTACTCAGGTTGTTTTTGTGTAATATTAAAATTTGATTGATGATGTGAAACATGCATGTTTCAGAAATAACCCCCATAACTCTGACTTTCATTTTTCACTTGCAGAAACACAAAGAGAAGAAGAGAGGTTTCTAATTCAATGTAAGCTATGCAAAATTTTAAAAAAAGAGTTTTTAAATCTGCCCGACATCAAAGAGGTCAAATTCCAAGTAATGTCTCGCTTGTCGGTACAAATCACAGCACCTTTCTCCAAGTGCTGGAGCTTTAATCCTCTGCTCATCAAATTAAAAAGCGGAGGTGTGAAAAACTAAAAAAGTTAAGTGAAAACGTGAAAATGAATTTATATTTTTGAGATACAGGGTCATAGCTATAGCACCTAATCTGGATTTCTGGCAATGCAGCGGGAGCAGTAATCTGTCTCAAGAGAATTAACAACTAAGTGGGCACGACAAGGGTTCTTTTTTCTTAGATATCTTGAAATTACAGTTACTTTTCTTTTGTCATTTTAATGTGCAGGTGAACTGAGGTCCATTATTGGCTTTGTGCTGGGAGAACTATCGCATGCTAAGAGGGAGGAAGCCACTTCTGACTCCTGTGGCCCTCAAATGACACAAAAATTACAGTCATTCAAACCAATGAAGCTAAAGCTGTAATTGTGAAAATGTCACACACAGATATGGGGCCATCTTGCTTTCCTCCTTCCCCTTCATTGTTGTGTATTGGGAGGAATACCGGGACCACTTTACAAACATTACAGCTGTGGGCTGCAAGATAATTAAAGGGGAAAAAACATGCTGATTACTGTAGAGAAAAGAAAAGGGAAGTTTTAAATGTTTTAAAGGGTTTTAAGGAGATTATGGAGTAAAGAATGAAGCCATTTCTAATCTCTCTAACCAAAGCCATCCTCGGCCTGGCTGTAAATGCAAGCATCGATTTTTCAAGTGGCACTTTGAATTTAAAAGGCATGACAATGTCTCGCACCTCATTATATCACTGATTTACTCACTGCCTAAGTCGAACTGTACTATCCACTTGCTGGGTGTCTTCTTGCCTTGAAGACGAAACAGATGAGGTCAGAACCTTCACCTGGAGGGCCCCGAGTCCTCTGACACAATCGTCTCATGGTTTTTGAGTGAAAACCCAAGAGCCATTTGTCCTGCAAAGCTTCTTATTCATACTTCAGCTTCTGCCTAGGCTACACACACAGTCGCTCAGTTTCTTCTTTAGACTACAGCCATGCTGGCTGACACTGTTTAAAGCTCTTTATGATGAACTGACATGAAAACTGGCATCAACACCCCAGTCAGTTTGGTGATTTCTCTTTCCCCCAATACTTTAGTTGTACGTTATACTTTAGTGCTAATTAACAAAGGTCAGCATGCTCTTATAAAGGGTTTTTGTGAAATCTACTCCTGTGTCTCAGGAGCTTTATTTAGCTGCTTCTCTTTTTAAAGGTTTGCTCGACTTTGCAGAGATGGAAGCAGCACCCACCCGTGCAGGATAAAAATTAATTCTCACATTCTTAATTCCACTCCAGAGGAATCTATAGACTGAATGTTGATGGATTTTATAATAATGCAACATTATCCCTGAAACAGTTGCTGTTTAGAAAAAAACAGGATGAATGATGACCGGTGCATTTAATAGAGTTCTGCCCTTTTTGTAACAACCCAGAGCTGAAAAGCAGTTTTTACCATTTTCAGATAGCCTGTTGAAAAAAAACAGCAACTGAAGTGCTGTTTTTTTACATGATGGCTTATGTAAAGCTGAGCCACACATCACTATAAATACACCCCATGCATACATAAGCACAAGGGTGGCATTTATTCGTGGGTGGGAAATCTCATCTTTACCAACTTTTTCCATATTTCTAGAAGTGGAGTGCAAGTGGAAGGCGATTCTGCATAACAAAGATCAATATTATGGACATTTCAGTTTACTGCTTTAAACTTTTCACCTTCGTATCAGGCACAGACCGACTTCAATTGCTCTTTAGCTTCTGCTCCACGGTCTGGCAGTGGCCTTTACAGCAAAGCCAGCGAGTGATCATAAACGATCAAACCGAGTCAGTAAAACGAGATGGTTAATGTAACATTAAATGACTTTAAGCAAAGTTTAACTTTGCTAAAATTTCAAATCATCCCTAAAATAAACATACCTATTATCTCCATAGAGATGTGTTCTCCACGCTGACTTGTAATTACACTAAATAATTGCTCTTAATGAAAAAACTAATAACTTTCCTATTTTAAGACCTCCGAATTCACATCCAAAATCAAAACGTCATCCCAATTTTCACCTCCGACGGCTTTCTAATAGCACTTGCTTTCCACTGAGTAACTCTTTTGCCCCCGAGCAGCCGACATTGTTGTGAAACCCTACGGACAAGGCTGAGGGAGGAAGGCAGGGCAGAAAGGAGCACTCATAAACAACTTATTTCAGATTTCAACAACAGCAGCGGCATGTGATTTCATCTTTTTTTTTTCCTGAGCAGTTATCTGAACCAAATGTTTTTCTCGGCTGAGGCATCCAGGCATAAAGTACCTGCTGTAAAGGTTAACAGGAACAAAGCCCTTTTTCCTCACCCGCCTGCTCCTGCCTCTCCCTTCATTTCTGCCAGAAAAACAGGAAACCTGTTCAAACGAATCCCACATTTTAGAGTCCCTGACGCACGCAGGCAAATCAATGCACACACACACACACACACACTGAACACCCATTTGTGATTTCCATTCGGGTTCTGCAGGTCGACCTACTGTCGTGTCCTTCTTGTCGTTCCAGCGTGTGATGAAGCTATTCTCTCTCTCCATCTGTTGCACCTGGTCTTCACTGACCTGTTGAAAAAACATCACAAAACACACACACACACACACACACACAAACACACGTCAATTCAGACTGAGCCAGAGAAAAGTTTCTAATCAGGTAAACCGCACTTGAGAAACATCATCTTGCTTGATAGAATCCCGCAGCCGTTTTTGATGGTCATATTAATTTCAGCGCTTAAATGTGATACGTGGAGGAGCAGATTAAACCTGGGAAAGAGTGAGCTGCTCAGCTAACACTTCTAAAACCTCATTTTGAAAGAGAAAGTTGGCTGCGATGAGTGCTCGACACGGAATACTCTCTTCTTTCATAAAGCTCTGTGTGGGAAATGACTTTTTTTTCTCCAATCCAACTTTTTTTTTTTTAAACATCATTATCATTTTCAGAGAACAATTTCCTTTGTTGGAGTTATACGAGTGGCAGCAAAGATTGGGGTTGAAAATAAAATCCAAACAAACTGGGAAACTCATCGCGTGTATGTGTGTGTGTTTAGGCCTGATAATGGGCCCCGTCGACAGAAGCCACCACAGAACTGGTGCTTTAATTGGCGAAGCGTCTCGCTCGTTTTATGGTCACACTGAGCGTATTCGGCGCTATTGGACTCATGATTGGTTGGGCTTAATGGCTATTTGTCATGCGAATGATGGCGTCGCCAACCGATTTGGAGTGAATGAACCTCCTTTTACGTTAGAAAAAGAGGGATCCGGGCGTTCCGAAGGGAATTAACAGTCAGTCGGTGCTGCGTATCCCATAAGCCAGGCAGCTCTCCAAGGGTAACATTGATCCTGAGCTCCCCCCCCCTCTTTCCCATCCACACATCAGCAAAGTCAAGCCTGTTGTGGAGATTTGGCAACAACACTTCAGCTCCCCAGATGGTTGTAAGTAAGAGAGTGTAAATAAAGTCATGCCTGCAGCTTGGTTTAGATATGCAATATGGTAATATCTGGATACTTTGTTTTGGTTTTTTTACTCAGCCATTGATTGTCTACACATTCATTACAGCTTCTATCCTGTGTTACAGGATGAATGATAAACACGTCTGACACTGCCTGTGCGAAACATGACAGCGTTCGCAGGATAAGATCTATATTTTTCCGACTCTTCACCCAGTTTTCAAATGAAGACCAGATTTTTATCCTTAAAAAAAACAAACAGAAAACACCACGCTGCCTTCACGGTGTGGAGAATTCCCAAAATATAGGAATATCATGGGAATACACCCAGTTGGCAACCAGTTAATTGAAGTGCCTTACTGCAAAGAGAGGCGCCACACATGAGTTACACTCAAGTGTGACTCTAATTAATTGCATTATGTTGTCAATCTGTCTGTATTTATAAATTAGATGATAATTACTTGCAAACCTTGGCCAATCTGTCTGAGAGTGACTGCTGTCAGTCTGAGTTGGACAACGGCATGTTGGTCCAACTAGGCAACCTGGGTAATTACCCTCCAATCAAAAGTGTGTCATGGTAACTACTGTGTGAAGACATTCAATGCAATCACATGGAAAACACTGATATTTCTTAGTCGCAAGGATGTTGCGGACAAGTTTTAACTTGAGAGACTGGTTCATGTAAGATGCATCATATGAAATGTAAACTCCCGTGGGTTTGAAGCTCAGCTCAAAGCAAAGCAGGTCTAAAAAGTGAGGATGTCTTTGCTTCTTGTACAGTTCAAAGTCCTCTGCAATGTTTAAAAGTACAAACGATAAGTTCTCTATATATTAAACCACAAATACAAAGCTGTTTATGTCATTTATTACCAGTGTCTGACTATTATTAATCTGCTAGGGTCATTTAAGGTATAAGAGGATCGTATGGAGGCATCTACATTTCTTTATATTGTTTATCAAGCAGAAGTCCAGATTATAGTCACGTGAGCCAGGCATGAGGAACGAACGATAAACAGCACATTAACTTTAATCACAGTTAAAAGTTGTTTAACCCAACAACAGAAAACAAGAAACAAAAGAAAAAAATGGCTGTTTAGTCCTAAAGATAGCATCAGATATATTGGTGATACCAGAAAGACTCCACACATATAGAAGAGAGCTTTACAAAGCTGGGCTCGTTTTTTACTTCAACCAAAGATGTCCTGAACCACAGAGTCCACTGCTACTTTTCTGTTCTAGAAGACCTGTTTTTCCTTTATTAATATAATCTGTGCCACCTGTCTGTGCAGCGTACATTTGGCAATAACACAACGCGGCAATAACCTGAGTTGAATATTACTGAATGTACCAACCGTCTTGTTTTTGTTTTTTGGTTGTTTTTTTGTTTTTTTTATAAGTTATGCAATGTGTGTTTATGTGATAAAAACTGGATGTTATCTAAGGTACAAGAGGAAGATCCATGTCAAGCAGCTGAGCTCAGTCCAATCGGTTTTTCGTGCTTATCAACGCAAAAGAAAAAAAAAACCCACAAGAACATTTCAGACTTACACTGAAGAGCGTAATGTAGTTGCTGATTAGGTCGTGGACCACACTAATTTCCTGTGTGGTTTGTCCTCGAGTCTGGAACAGGCAGGAGGAGAAAACGGAAGCCAGTTTTTCACTTGGCATGCGGTTCAGGTGGGAGCATTGCTGGATCCTGAATAACAGAGAGAAACATGCTTAGAAAATCCCTTAATGTACCCGCAGGTCGACACGAGTGGCTCATATCTTTTCCTGAATCGCTCTCGTGGCCTCTAAAGCCCACTCATACTACTCGCTGTGGCACGAGCACACAGAGAGCTGAATGAAACATCGGGCCTCGCTCCAAATTAAGCATCAAGTCAATTAAGTCTTCTCTAAACAATCTATATCAAAAGGAGCTAAATCTATCCACTGCAGGTTTCCAAGGGAAATCGAGTGAATGATACACGAAGACAGCGGTGTGCTTATATTTAAAAAACAACATAAGAGGTGGAAGAAGGGGTTTTTGTAGCTGCAGCACGGTATCAAAGTTGTGCAAGCTTTTTCTTTGGTTCTGTATCTTCTGTGTTGTTTGTCTCTGCATTTCCACTCCAGGTAAAACAAACAGTAAATCAGTAGTTTCAGTCCACAAAGCGCGAGACGGCTGTAATCTATTACTAGAAATCTCCACAGTTCAAATTATCCAGAGGTGAAGAAGTAGAGAATTCAGCAGCGTAACCAACTGAGGGAAAAATATATGATTTTCATAAAAAGAAACAAAAAGCAGCGCACAGCCAGAAATAGCGCCACTCGTTTTGTAGACCTCAGCTATGTGTTTGCTAATTGCCTGAGTCTTTAATAATGAGCCACACAATCTGTCTCAGTTGAAAAATGCCAGCGCTCGCTAGAAACAATATGGAATTGATTCATCGCTTTCAACCGAAGGACACTGTTACTTCACAAAAACAATCTTTTTCTGCTCAGCTTGGTTTGTTTTTCCCCCACAACAACTTTTCAGTGCATTCACTGTTCAGCAAACAGACTTAATTTGAAAGAATATTTAACAGTATTGGTCAGATGGAGGGGAAAAAAGCAAACAAAAAAAAATAACGGGGGTCATTAGGAGAATAGAGGAAACAATGCAGCTAATCAGCAGGCGACAAGCAGCAACCAGAGGGCCGCTCGGGCCTCATGACCTTTGAACCGCTATGCTCGCTTTGTCTGTGATGCAGAGCGGCCTCTGGAGAGCCACACTTGTTTCATCAGCAACAAGGTCAGATAAGAACATTAGGACAACTTACAAATGCATAATATTGCAAAGTAGCTATCAAAGAATGGGTTTTTAATCCCAATTAGTGCCAACAAGTTGCTGCAAAAGTGGTCGAACTAATTAGGCTGGTTTTGAACTTTGCTGCAGTAAGTAAGAGAAAAACTTGTGCATCACGAAGATGCTGGGTCATGCAGATGTGACCCTGGTTCTCCTGTGACTTTACACTGCGTGAAGATGTTTTCGTGTCATATCCATCTGCTAACAACCAAAAGATGCCTAACTGCTACATTGTGCTGCCGGCCACAGGAGACAGAAGCTGATATCAGTGATAAAAAGTGAAACAATGGATGGCAAAACTTAAGTTGTCTGGCACTCAACTTTGCCTGTGTGTGCCGTGGGCATTTTCTGTTACTGATAACTCAAGCATCCAAATGTCATGTTTGTCTAAGTTCGGGACATTCTGCTCGGACTCCCTTAGCCCAGAAAAAAAGCATCCTGACTGTTAACTAGTTATGATAAGCATGTTGCAAGACCTCTGCACTCTACATCAATCACAATAATTCAATTCAGTCATAGCGCTGAATGAAGCTTCCCACCCTCAAAACACAGAGTGCTAACTCTTTCATGAGCAAATCGCAATGTGTACATAAAAATCATAAAAACCAGCTTTATTTAATCATTTTATTCCTAACAGTTACTATATCTGTGTAAGCTGAAGCTACAGCATTTGGACTGCACTTTGCAAAATATGTAAAATACATATAATCCAGAAAGCTATGAGTAATGTTTTTATACCAAATCTCAGCACTGACTAGCAACATTAGCTTGCTAACAAATAGGTTGCTTTAGCTTTTAGCTGCTAACTAGCTGTGTGGTGCTAAAATAATGCTCTGAAACAGCTAGATGTGCTACTTTTAAACGGCTAAAGCTATCTTCTTAGCATTCAGCACTGTTTTCCCTTCCACTGAACATAATTTTTTAGAGTATGAAAGTTTGTTTAAACACAAAAATTTAAATAAAATTAGATTATAGCAGAAAAAATATATACCTCCCTGTGAAGTCTAAGCACAGGTAGGATAAATTTGGTTAGCTAATGCAGCTAATTAGCTTATGAGCTTAGCTGTTTTCCATGTATAAAGACAGCTACAACAAACTAGAGAGAAATAAAGAATCTGGCAAATGCTAGGATTTTCAACAGGTTTATCTGGTAGGCTGATATCCTTCCACTTATTTATGGTTATTAAAAAATAGTCCCTGGTCTCTCTCTCTCTCTCTGTCTGTGTCTCACCCACTCTGTCTGCACTGTGTAGGTGCAGCAGTTTCCACTGCTCCATCTGTAGCACATAATTAGTGTGGATAGCGAGGGTACATAAATAGAAGATGCATTTTAGAGTACAGGGTTAGTTCTTCAATGGTTAGAAACCAGCTCTATCATCTTATTTACTGTGTTGTGTTATTTTTATTAATACAATGTTGTTTAAGTCGTCTTTGTGCCTCGGGTTTCGAGTTTTTAAAAACCCTTAAACCCTCCCAGAATGTAAAAGTTGACCTTTGTAATAAAACAGCTTCACTAACACAAATGCTACACATGTCATAGCTCGATGCCTGTGATCTCGTGCGTTTTTACCTGTAAAGATGCTGCAGCACGGCTTCAAGGGTTGACCTGTTTATCTTTGGCAAGCTCTCTATGAAAGCGGAGTACTTCTTCACTCTCTGCCTTTCGTTCTTCTCATCTACCGAACCAAGTAGAGAAGAAACATAATAAAATGAATAAACACAAGTAGAAAAGCTTATGTTCAAACACATGCCACAAAAGGGTTTTTACAGTATGTTTAAAATGACTCTGCAAATTCACACAGTTTAGCATGGTGAACTTGTGTATTTCTCTCTTTCCTACAACTCTGCAGACTTTATAGTGTTTGACATCCCACATGCCAGAAAGCTCACACACCCAGAGCTGACACCCAGTATGGATAGAGCTCCTTGGTCAGTAGTGCATCTTCTGCCTGAGACAAGAAGCTCTTCAGCGTGTCAGTCACATCCTGAAGTTGGTGCTCCTTCTCCCTCAGCTTCACATTACGGGCATCACGGGTGAACTCCTCCAGGAGGTGAGACACTCGACCAGGATTCCCAGGCCTCTGGTAGACTCCCTCCTGGCACAAACCTGGGCACAGTGTCAGAAGACCTCTGATTAATAAGAAATCGCCAGCTTCCTTCTGCACATGTTCTGTCCAAATGACAAATAGCTCTGCCGTGTAGCATCTCCAAGAGAAAATGACAGCATGTAGATTTTCTATATGACAGGATGCATTTATAGAAAAGTAAGTAGCCTTATGGACAGTGTGACTTGTAGGATTTAACAACGTTGCATAAGCACATTTGAATCTAAATTGCAGGCGGAATAAAATTGTCAGTGCAAGGTATATTAACCTTCTGTGCCATTTCACAGTCTCACTCAGAGTTAACTTTTATTCCAATCCCTCATTATACAGCACACTACTTACCCTGACACTGTAAAAGTCCACAGTTACCATACATTAGCCAAGCCAGGACTCTGTATGATGCAGTTTCTAACTTTGTATGGAGCGTTCCTCTGATTAACAGCAGAGTGCAGTTGTACTACATTTATTTTCCACACTTCTAAAACTGTTTTTTTAAAAGGGAAGAGATAGGATAATGGCAGCGCATTGCCAGACAACATTAGAAAGCATGAAACTCTCATCGCAACACAGTGCACTGGATGAATCAGCTGCTCAATGGGAAATCATAATAATAGTAATGCAGAACTTTCTTTTTTCAAATTAAAGAAAAACAACAAACTCTTTGAGCTGAGAGATACAATGTAGCTCACCATACTGAGTGACAAAAGCAATGCAGCTGTCGACTATAATAGGAACACCGTTTTTAGTCAGCTGTTGGTCGCCGAGCGCCTTGCCGTCTGTGCCAGCAGCCAGTTTGATAGCAGAGTGCCACACGGTGAAATCCATCTTGTTGAAGCCATGAATGTAAACTGTTCTATTTATATATATGTAAAAAAAGAGAGACAGAAACACAGTAATTACTGGTGAAGAATGCCATCCTGTGATTTGCCCGTACAACACGGCGCTTTCTATTCGATGACCTTAAGTTCATATATTTAGAAACGCGCTGCTAAGTCATTAAATTAACAACCGACATGATTAAAGGAATCCAAAGAGCTTCTACAGAACACACGTCTATAAACAACCGCTGGTTTCCCAGTAGGTTTGATCAAAAAAAAAAAGAAAGAAAGAAAAAAAACATACAAACAAACAGCAATTAAAGACAAAGTTTTATTGCACGACGCTAAACGCGAGACTAAACTGGTTGGCTTGTGTGAGGGCTGCGATGCTACGTGCCATCTCACACCTTCTCTCTAACTGAGGCGAGGTTTTAATTACCTTGGATGGTTACAGTAGGTAAGGTGCATTTGGACTAACAAGACAAAAGTCGAAGCTAACAGGACCGCATAAAGCATATTGTTGCTGTATTGCTAATACAGTTCCAATTAGCACAGGCTTTTTTCCTCTCCCTCTCCCCCCTTAGAGACATACCTTCCACACTCGACCATCAGCAGGACTTGGATCTTGTCCTCACCCTCAGTATGTGTGGAGACAGCTGGAGTGGGGTTAAAAAAAGGCAACAAGGTTTAGAAAATGCAGGCATACATTCAAATGAGAAACATCTTTAGAATTATTTGATCTCACTCCAAAGCCTGAGAAAACTTTCGCCATGGAACTTGAGAGGTGATGCATTCATTCATCGGCTCTTAAGTATACATTTGCTGTTTAAATCAGTTAAATAACACCCTGCTAAAATATATCTAGACATATCTGACTGGGCTTTTCAAAGGTGTAGGTATACACTGGGAAAATGAGATAAGTGAGAAAGCAGTGCAGTGATGGAAAATGCCAAATGCATTGGAGTTAATAGCGTTTCCTTGTTGTAATGGGAAACATGATTTCAGGCTGTGTGCGAGCGTCTGACGGCAGAGTTAAACAAGCGAGGGAAGTGGGGCGTAAACACTGGTTTCATTTGTCATCAAGGTTTACATAAATTTGGTTGAAATGCAACTAAACAAGATTGCACTGTGCGCAGTATTTAAGACATCAAATAAAAGACAGAAAGGAAAGGAAAACAGATACAAGGTTACTGGCATTCCTCTTTTGCAGAATCAATCTTTTGAAATCGGAATAAGAGTGTAAGATCCACAGAAACTGGGCTCAGGGACTCGAGCGCTCTGCCATAATCTCTTCTGGGGCTTCAAACAGCTGCTTGGATCATGGCAACAATCACACGCAGCAGAGAAAGTACAAAAAAAGATATGAGCCTCTGCACAAATCTCCTAGCAACAACATCTGGCACTTTCATCACACTCGAGCACTGGTTGTGCTCACATATATAGACAGAAAGATACAAAATTGAAAAAAGAAGCAGGACTTCACCTTAATGAACTGTTGAATTTTGGAGATTGGTCTGTACCTCAGTAGAAACACTTGCTATATAATTACATGCTTTGTTACAGAAGATTAAAAATCGGGGGGAAATGAGCTTTTCGCTTCGTTTCTCCTCACAGAGACAAATCCTGTGTAGAAATCTAGTAAGTAACAGTAAAAATAGCAGCGCTTGCCCCAAACAGCCAATCAGATGGTCAAAATTTTGTGTATAGTTGAAATTCAGTTTCTATAGTGTGGTGGCGGGCGTATCTACTCATTACTAAAGTACAGATAGATATAAGAGTGTATTTGGTTTCTTCTTGGCTGACTGTATCCATAATATGGATACATCTTTCTAAAAAAGCTATCCTGTACGTGTGCTATAGCTTGTAACAGCAGGGATGTGGCACTCAAAGTGTCCTGAATAGAAATATATAGGAGAATCCATAGTTTACCAACTCCTTTAAATATTATTTACTTAAAACCACAGTTACCAAGGCCTAGACACCAGCTGGTGACCACCTAGAAAAATCTGATCACTAAACACAGACATTGCCCAACCAATTGGTGGGTGGTTAGTGGGTGTGGCCATGGAAGATGCTAGCTTATCTGTAAAATAAAGTTTAATGCAAACTGGAAACGGATAATGTTCGACACAAGTAAAATGTATTGCTGCTACCAAAACATTTGAAAAAGTGCAATTTCTCTATGGTAAATGGAAAATGAAGTGGTTCTTATATAGCGCTTTTCTACTCTGAGCACTCAAAGCGCTTTACACACCTTGCCTATGAAGGTAAATGTTCTCCGTTTCCTGTTTGCATTGTATTTTTCACTACCAGTTGGCAAGTAATTTGTGAGTGTTTGCAGACTAGCTGAGATCTTCCATGCAAACTATTGGTGACCGCGGCAACCTACTGAGGACCAAAAAAATCACAAGGTTTTCAGTACAGCGCTGTGCACTTCTGTGTGACCTGTTTCATGCTAGCGACTGCAAGCAATCAGTCGCTAACTGGTCAGAAATTATACATGTTTACCAAGCAACCACTGAAGCAACAAATCAGTGACCACTGACAGTCACTGATTTCTAGAATCGATTCGATTCACAAGGTCCTGAATCGATTCGATCCACGATTCGATTCGATTCGATTCGATTTGAATCTGGGAAATTTTGCCTCAGACAGTCAGAAATATTATAAGTCAGATCAGTACATTTACATATTTTTGTATCTATAAAAAGGAAGCTGACACTTTCCAGACTATCAAAGGTGTGAGCATCACAGCAGATGCCTTTGTGTCAAAGTAGCTGAAGATAAAACACAGAAAAACATGAAGGTGATTTTCCTGGCCTGGGATTTTATAAAAATATTCTGCAGTACATCAAAAACGAAAGAAAACCATTAATCAACATATGAACATTACCTCTGAAGTCACAGCGGTTTTATTAGAGACATGGCTAAGCGTTTTGCATTTTGTATAATTTTAAGTAAGTATACGTTTCAATTTGTTCAGAAGCCTATTGAACGGCAGAAATTAGGTTTTCTTTTCGGAAGTAAGTAAAAGGAAGAAAAAAAAACCATCAGCCGACAGCGCTGTAAACAACGGTAGACTTGTGCGTAACAAGCAAGTAAATAATGCAGAAAACAGATTTCGGGGATAGACGGGAAACTGTTCTTGAAGTACACTGAGAAAGAGAGAGAGAGAGAGCTGTGCATGAAGTGTGATTTTATTGTGGTAGAAGCAAAACAGCAAAAGTAAGAGGGGATTCATGACGATGTTTATGTAAAGCTTAGTTTGGATCTTCTTTTGCTGCTGGTTCGGTCAATATTGTTTGGAGAGAAATAAAACTAACCGCTTTAGAATCAGTGCAAAAAGGGCGTAAACACAAAGCGCGGACCGCCGAAACATCGTAATCAGCGAGCTGTCGGCTTGTGTCCGTGCCATCGGGTGAGAAAGGCGTCATCTCACTGATTCTGATCCGCGGGTTCGCGCTTTGTGTTTACGTCTTTGTGCAGAAGCTGTGTACCTGCTCACATTTACTGTTTTAGCTGTTTGGTGGTTGTCAAAATTTTGTGACGTTTCACCTGAGATTCTGGAATTGTGGGCAAAATACATTTATATAAAAAAATTTAATGAATCGATATCACGTTATCCAAGCCAGAATCGATTTTAATCAATAAATCGATTATTAAAACCCACCCCTAGTCTCTAGGCCTGTGTTAAAAGGGCAGCAACCTCCAGCAAGGACTCATTTTTCCCTAACTACCGGTTGTTGCCAGATGGTCCCCAACAAGACTCTAGTTCTCTGTGATTGAGGACTGAGGTACATGATTTGAGCCTGACCAATTTATCAGCAGGCTGCTGTTATTGCTATTACTTTCTATTGGCCAATTTGAAAGTGAAAGTTTTAAAAGTAAAGAGCTTCTGTTATGTGTTGATGTTGCATAGTTTGCCCACCGGAGGGCACTGTGTAACACATGTTTTTGGAACACCACAAACACGGTCCATCCATCTTCATCCGCTTTATCCGGGGCCGGGTCGCGGGGGCAGCAGCCTAAGCAAAGAGGCCCAGACCTCCCTCTCCCCAGCCACCTCCTCCAGCTCATCCGGGGGAACACCAAGGCGTTCCCAGGCCAGCCGAGAGATATAATCTCTCCAGCGTGTCCTGGGTCTGCCCCTGGGCCTCCTCCCGGTGGGACATGCCTGGAACACCTCACCCAGGAGGCGCCCAGGGGGCATCCTTGTCAGATGCCCAAACCACCTCAGCTGGCTCCTTTCGATGTGGAGCAGCAGCGGCTCTACTCTGAGCCCCTCCCGGATAGCCGAACTTCTCACCCTATCTCTAAGGGAGATGCCAGCCACCCTTCGGAGGAAGCTCATTTCCGCCGCTTGTATCCGCGATCTCGTCCTTTCGGTCACTACCCACAGCTCGTGGCCATAGGTGAGGGTAGGGACGTAGATCGACCGGTAAATTGAGAGCTTCGCTTTTACACTCAGCTCCCTCTTCACCACGACGGACCGGTGCAGCGTCTGCATTACTGCAGCCGCAGCCCCAATCCGTCTGTCGATCTCCGGCTCCCTTCTCCCATCACTCGCGAACAAGACCCCGAGATACTTGAACTCCTCCACTTGGGGCAGGACCTCATCCCCGACCCGGAGTGGGCACTCCACCCTTTTCCGGCTGAGAACCATGGCCTCAGATTTGGAGGTGCTGATCCTCATTCCCGCTGCTTCACACTCGGCTGCGAACCGCTCCAGTGCGAGCTGGAGGCCCTCACCCGATGAAGCCAACAGAACCACATCATCCGCAAAGATCAGAGATGAGATCCTGAGGCCACCAAAGCGAAAGCCCTCCGCCACTTGGCTGCGCCTAGAAATCCTGTCCATAAAAATTATGAACAGAACCGGTGACAAAGGGCAGCCCTGGCGGAGCCCATCACCCACCGGGAACGAGTCCGACTTATTGCCGGCAATGCGAACCAAGCTCTTGCAACGGTTGTATAGGGATCGAATGGCCCGTAGCAATGGGCCAGACACCCCATACTCCCGCAACACCTCCCACAGGACACCCCGAGGGACACGGTCGAATGCCTTCTCCAAGTCCACAAAACACATGTAGACTGGTTGGGCAAACTCCCATGCACCCTCAAGTATCCTCGAGAGGATGAAGAGCTGGTCCAGTGTTCCGCGACCAGGACGAAAACCGCATTGTTCCTCCTGCATCAGAGGTTCGACTAGCGGACGAACTCTCCTTTCCAGCACCCTGGCATAGACTTTCCCGGGGAGGCTGAGGAGTGTGATCCCCCTGTAGTTGGAACACACCCTCCGGTCCCCCTTCTTAAAGATGGGGACCACCACCCCGGTCTGCCAATCCACGGGTACTGCCCCTGATCTCCACGCAACATTGCAGAGGCGTGTCAGCCAGGACAGCCCTACAACGTCCAGAGCCTTCAGGAACTCGGGGCGGACCTCATCAACACCAGGGGCTCTGCCACCAAGGAGTGTTTTCTTCCACAAACACGGTAAGCAGCAAAATCAGGCAAAGCATACACAAGTATACACAAGTATATAAATAACACAAAAGTTTTATGAAAATCAATAGATACTTTGGAGTATTGGATTTTTAATTAATCAATCATAGTATTTATTTAGGACTCTGGTAGAATAAGCTAAGGGTGATGGACT